TTAACTTGTGTCATAAAGTTTCTGCATGATGTTTGAAACAAAGAGTAGGTTGTTTTAAGTAGGTTAGGTTCATCAGCTCTGACTTAGACATGATGGCAAGAAGTATTTATTTTTTGGCAATAACTGTAGCACACTGTAACTTCTATCTTCACTAAGTAAAAGTACATTCCTTCCTGCCAGCTTTTCATCAACTAAACTAGGAACCATGCTAAACAAGAGCTTACTAGTAGATTAGTTCCCAGAATTCTGGATTTAATTAGCCCTGAGAGACTTGTTGGTACGAATTTTTCACAAATCACATCTGAAGTTCAAAATTGGTTTCAGCAATTGGTGCATTTTTTTTCCTTTATTCATTCATGGGATGAGGGCATTCTTGACTAGGCAGGATTTATTGCCCTTCCTTGATTGCCCAAAGGATAGTTAAGAGTCACCCACATTGCTGTGGGTCTGGAGTCACATGTAGGCCAGACCAGGTAAGAATGGCAGTTTCCTTCATTAGTGAACCAGATGGGTTTTTCCCAACAATTGACAATGGATTCACGGTCATCATTAAATTCTTAATCCTGGATATTATTGAATTCAAATTCTACCATCTGCCGTGGCGGGATTCAACCCGAGTCCTCAGAATATTAGCTGGGTCTCTGGATTAACAGTCCAGCAATAATACCACTAGGCCATCGCCTCCCCTTCCAATGGTTGGAAACATTGAAAGTTTTTAATTTGCTGTATTGTTTTTTTGAATGGATGTCACTAGTATAACCTAATGATTGTTTTGTTTAGGTTCAGAAATACCTTTGCAATGTGTAAAAGTCAAACATGCTGTTGTCAGTGACAATACCATCTTGATCAAAATGCATCAAGTGAACCCTGAGTTTTTGTCAGCTCTCAAATTATAACTGTGATGACAGAACCACCAACATCATTGAGCTAAAACCTTAACTCTGTAAATGTGTCTAATTGTTTTAACGTGTAAACCTGAGTGTACTTATTTGTAGATTTCATACTCTATTTGAAATGGCCATCAGTATTGCTTGAGTTTTGAAATGTAGCTTGCAATACTACAATTTGTGGAAAATATGTCAGCAAATGACACCAGTTGACATATTAATGAGTGTTGCCAATGCAAATGAGTCATATCAGCTCTGACAGATGGCTGATTCTCGCACACTTCATCCTCGAGATATTTTGTTAAAGTGGTAAATAGGTGCTCATTGATAATAAGATGGAAATGAGGCATTTTTAAGGTTGTGTGGAGTTTTGCCTTTAGAGTGATTGTAATTGTGATAGTATGTATTACAGGCTTTCTTCTCATTTGTGTTTATAAATTAATTTTACTTCTGTCCGAGACTGCTTACTCTTGGAATCATTGAATCCATATAGTGTGAAAGGAGGCTATTCAGCCCATGGAGTCCACATCGACCCGCCGAAGAGCATCCCACGCAGACCGAACCCTACCCTATCCCTGTAACCCTCCGTTCTCCATGGCTAATCCACCCAGCATATGCAGGCCTGGACTCAATGGGCAAGTTGGTATGGCCAATCCACCTAACCTGCGTATCTTTGGACTGTGGGAGGAAACTGGAGCACCCAGAGGAAACCCACAAAGACAGGAGGAAAACGTGCAAACTGCACAGAGTCAGCTGTGGTTGGGATCAAACCTGGGTCCCTGGTGCTGAGAGGCAGCAGTGCTAACCACTGAGCCACGCCTCTTGTTTGAGAACTGTTTCAAACTGGTCTATCTTGAGTATCTCACCGAGTGACAATCTAGAAATTACAAACGTAGTCCTTGTGAATGCTGATGAGCTATTCAGTAATGGAAGACAACTGATTTGAACCTGGTTGTGTTCTCACTGACATCTACTTGTGTTCTTTCCAGCAGGGGTCCCTGAAAATGTAATTGAGAACACATCCTTGCTAGAGATCAATGATAGGATACCATGTGCTGATTAGAGGATCATGTTGTTTTGATCTTATTGGCTGAAGTTTCAGAGTGCAGAGAAAAAGTGACATTAGTTTGTTTGTTCTATTTGAACTGTTCACAATGCCAAACTGCTTTTTATAACAGGACACCTCAGCGGAACTCTAGTGATCTGTGTTGCTGCTAATATCATTAGATTCTTGAGAGATGATTGGAAAGGTCATATGAAGCAGGTCAGAAGTGCCTGTGAAATCCTAAAGATGGACTTTGGTTTCTGAATCTGAGTATTAATCAGCAAAGGGCTGATTAGAATATATCAGTTAAATGATGTAAACCCTGGAAGTTATTGACACAAGCTTTTAGTAGTTGATCATCATTCTCTCCATATAGTCTCACATAATCTGAATGGTACTAATTTCGATTTGGAGGTCTGTTTGTAAGTTAGAACATGTGGAGATGATCGATCACTTGCATCATTTCACGTAATGGTGCTAAATCCTTCACTGATGTTGCCATTGCGGATGCCATTTTATTTCGATATAATCTCTGCCATCTGTGTCAGATCTACTGAGGCAGATCTCTGAGCACATGCAAGTGTTATGCCGTCAATCTCTCCTGGTAAATACTTCTATTTTATTGAATGAGAGGGAGACAGAGTATGAATGATTGTGTGGATAAGTACTTGTTTTATAGAACTGAAGGTGAAGGCAGTTATCCCTTCCTTCTTCTTACAGTTCAGTGGCATGCTAATTCTGTTAGCTAGCATGATTGTTTCCATATCCTTTACATGTCTCAAATCCTGTTAACTAGCTAGTCAATCTGTGTAGTTGTAATGCATCAACCTGCCCGTTTTAAAGATTCCAAAAGCAGGTTCTCGTCAAGATCTGTGTTCAGTGTCAAGCATTTTCTTCATTTTGTGAGCTTCACGTGGTCCAGATATTTACATGCAGTCCCAATGATGCAGAAAAAGAATGTAAAACTCCCCCGCTCTAATGTTTCAGAAACAACTGATTTTAAATGACACTTTCTGAGCAATGGTGATTCTCTTGTAAGTGTTAATCACAGAAGATCAGCACAAACTGAGAAGGTATTTTTGTAAATTTCCCATGCTAGCTATTCCTTGGTCTCTGTATGGAATGGGCAATTTGGTGTCACAGGATTAGGGACAGGGCAGGAAACAGGAATTAAGGTAGAAGATCAGCCACAACCTTACTGCACAGAGGAGAAAGCTCAGAAATTAGGAGAAAAGGTGATCGCATAATGAAGCTTGATGCTATGTTTCCAATTGCTCACCACATAATTCTATCTTGATGGCAGCAGGAGGGGGACTGTATAGCCTAATGTGTAATAATACTAGTGAAACAGCATTTAATCCAGAAAATTCAGTTAATTTAATCCTGAATAATTGTCAGTCAAATGCCAATAAAAGAAATGGGTCAGCTTCTACTCTGGCGATGGAGTGCATTGTTTCCAACTATGTAATTTGGGGTTTTGAGCCTCACTAGTTGAAGGTGTGAGACACCAGGAAACAACTGACTTGTCTGCAGTGAAAATCCTCAGGGATTAACCAAATTGGTACCAACCTAGTGAAGCTGCAACACAGGATTACGTGCATGCACACATCATAAAATAATTATCGACAGAGATGAGCAGACTTAGTCTAACAAAGAGAACAAACGTCTGTAGCTCAAACTGAAAGTCGGATTTTGGAATTAAAAGCACATCCCAATCCTCAAACATGAGTGAAAGAGCTAATTTTGAAGTGTTTGCAAGCTTCATAAGGCAGATATGGTGAGTGAATTCTTGTCATCTTATGCTCAAAGACACACTGTCATAAATACTGGTTCTTCAGCTAATTCAATTCCCAATCAGACATATCAGAAACAGGGAAGCAGACAATATCCCCATATGACCACTGCAGACCTGTCCACTCAAGCTAGCCATACACTAGCTTAAATATTGCAGTGCACATATAATGCCGGAAACTAACAAACAACATGGAGAACACTTGACTATAATTATTTTTAAATAACTTATTTGGGCATGGTATGACTCATCTCCAGGGCAGGCAGGACTACCTACTAGCACAGGGGTAGGAACATGACTGTATGTACCACAAGATCCTACATAATATTGATGTATATCTTATCCAAAAAATATAGAATAATCTAATCTGACCAATTGCCGTTATATCAGCACGTTCCCGATCATCAGTAAAATGATGGAAGAAGTCATCAATAGTGCCATTCAGTGCCATCTACAAGTCAATAATCTGTTTACCAATGCATAATTTGGCTTCCCACCAGAAGCTCAACTCCTGAATTCAGTGTTGAACTAGAGGTGGAGGCAGAGCCAAATGGCATAGAACAAATATGACTAACTGTTTTTGATATCAAAGACCAGAAAGCTTGATCAGTCTTATTTGGCAAACTACCAGTTTCTAGCTCTTTACAATTAGTCCAGAAAGGACTAATGTTTTTACCAGACTTGATGCAAAGCACAATGAGTTATCCTTTTAAAGAACCTGTCTGGCTGCATATGCAAAGCAAATGGGCCAAAATGTCTTCAGCAATATTACTTTTTGTTGTGGTCTGTTAAATTCTGCATAATGATACTGAGCAAAAGATACAAAAACATTCAAATCAATAATATAAAATTAATTGATTATTTGGTATGTTTGATCTTACTGTGTTTTGCACAGTTATGTCAACTGGTTTTAGTGTTATGTTGAAGAAGTTTACCGTCCCAGTTCCTAAATGTAAAATCTTTTGCTGCATGTACTTTTGATGCTGTATTGAGATTTTAATGATTTGAGCATATTTATCATATACCTTTTCAGTCCAATAAAAATACTTGTAAAAACTTCTTTTGAGATTTGCTACAGAAAGATTTCAACATATTTTAACTAGTTATCAGCATGTAGACATTCCCAGTGGACACATGCAATGATTGGAAGATTTGACTCCTTCTTAGGTTAACAAGGTTATTGCAGATTTGATACTGTTTTCTCCTTACTTCGACTGTGAAGGAGGACTAATGGATATGTTATTTTCTAAGAAGATGTTATCTATTTGCTTTGCAGGTAAAATTCTCTTCAGACGAAGTCACATCAGGGATGTAGCAGTCAAGAGGCTGAAACCAATTGATGAATACTGCAGGGTAAGTTCAGGAGGCACAGCTGATGATCTTGAGCTCACTTCTGGCTTGTGATCTTTGAGAACTCTGATTGAGACAAATGTTTGCTTATGTAGTCCGTCTACAGTTAAAGCATAAGAAGGCGGCAGACAGGAAAGCACAACAGTAGACTACTGTCTGAAATCATGAGAGTACCAAGTCTGTGCCAAAAATACACCAACAATTGCACTTCTGTAGTCAGATGTTTCCACTGAGTACTCTATTACTTCCCCAAATATCAAAAGACTTTTCATTCCTATTATGGGATATTACATTTGCCCAGGTGAGAAAGAACACTAAATAGCTTATCTTCAGTTTGTGTAATTTATTCTTCTATCTTATAGCGAAAATGCTTCTTTCTAGAATGAAAATAATAGTTCAGCCTTGTGCACCAATACATGTTACCCTATATGCTCAGGAAGCTGCCAAGGGATTTCATTTGTGAGAGCAACTGCGATGGGTTGGACAGTCATACCAACCACAGTAGTTTTAGTTTTATGTTAATGTTTATCAAATAATTTCTGCACTTTAGAATGCTAATTCAGTGAGAACCAGAACATTTCTAATTACGTCACAAATAACATAGTATGTGACCATGGTAAATTATCTCTCCTCATACTTTTTGAACTGTCTGCAGCCTTTGACATGATTGATCACACTGCCCTCTTTCAGCATCTCTCCACTATTCGTAGGTTGGGTGGACTGTGCTCGGCTGGTTGCTAACCCATCAGCCCAACAGAAGGCAATCACTTCCAGTCACCACACTTGATTTCCTCAACTACCCCCACTTCTCCATTCCCAAAGATCTATCTTTGCTTCCATGCCCAGTTCTGTCTCTTACCTGTGTGTAGTCAGTCACTGGCATTATCTACAAATACCATTAGATTCTGCACAACCATTGACTACACGCAGCTCTAAATCACCAGCAACCTCTCACTTTTTCTTGAAATTCTCAGTTTGCTTGACTGACATCCAGTGCTGGATGAGTAAGAATTTCTTCAGACTACTTTTTAGAAAGACTGAGGCCATTGTCTTGACTCCCAGCCATTATCTGTGTTCCGTAGCCACAGACTCCATCCCCCTCCCAGTCAAGAGTCTGAAACAGACTGGTCACGAACTTTGTGACTTTCTGTTTCTGAACCATCAGTCATGTACTTGCTCCATCACCAAGATTTCTTAACCTCACTAATTCCTTGTTTTCAAATTGCTTCATGGTTTTGCCTCTCCCTATTGCTGTAATCCATACCAGCCACACAGTCCTGAGATACCTGTGCTCCTTTAGTCCTGGCCTCATGTGGATTCTGATTTTAATCGCTCCCTCATTGACCATCTTGTTTTCAGCTACCTGAATTCTAAGCTCTCATTCTATTCCTAACCTCTCTGCCTCTTTCTTTCTCTCTCCTCCTTTAAGGTGCTTCTTACAATCTATCTCTTTAATAGATCTTCGTGTTATCTCATCATGTGGCTAAGTCTTAAGACTAATGTAATTCTCTTGTGAAGCACCTTCATGTTTTGCTACTTTAAAGGTGTTATAGAAATAAAAATTGTTGCAAAAGTATATTACAACAAGTTAATGTAGAATATTTAATATTGTAGCTTTGCAGGAACATTATCAGACAAATTTTATCAGTGTTGATGTATTAAGCAGTAATATTTGTCAATTGATGGGAGGAAACAAGAGGAAAATATATAGCATGTTTTAAAATGTTTTGCATGGCCTTAATGAAAACATCAGCAAGGTGAAGTAAAAAGTGAAATTTTCCTGTACTAAACAACATTTTTTACTGTTACCGATCACTTTCTGACAGCACGTACTAATATTTACAGTTCTGAGGTGGAAGCAGTTAAGATAATGGTATTGCATGCTGAAGTTAATGTCTTTTATTCTATGCAATCTAGTCTTTTCTTATAATTCAAATATTTTGACAGAATTGGTTCCTATATTGTTCCAAAGCATGACAGTTCTGTTTCCCTTTGATATCCAACTATATATTATACTTTATGTGCCAGAGGCCAGGACCTGACACAGGGTTTTATGTCAATGCCCAATAACAGAGCCCCAATGCTCACGTGGAGGTAGGGCCAGGATCCTGGGCAGTAGCAGCAGCGGGTCCCCTTATTTCTGTCTTTAGCCCTGCCATAGACCTTGACTGAGTGTCATGAAATCAACATGACTATAGCTCAAAGATGCACGCTGTTGGAGGTGGGATGTTCCTTTATCATGACTAATGTTCATTGAACATAGTGTAAAATGGGTACCACCCTCAAAACTTGGTTCTGAAATCATGACATCCAAGATCATACCAGTATGGAAAGCTGTAGCATCCAAAGATATTTATTCAAGTATTTTCACTTCCATTAAAAGAAACTTTCTTGCTTAGCCCATAAAAATATCATCTGCAAACTACAATGATTCTTTCTAGTCTGTTCCAATTTTTTCAGTAAGAATCAGTTTCCTATTGCAATTCATTCACTTGGTTAGCTATTCATCTGGTTTCTGCCGATTCCTGAAGTGACATTGCTTCTCTGGGGAAGGTTGTTGCCATGGTAATTGTTGCTGCTGATCCATTGCTTTTATTGGACAACTGTTGAGGTCTGAGACTGAAGCTTGGTGAAATCTATCTGCACGTCAGCTATCTGCAACGGAGAAGCAATTTGTTTGGTTTTATGAATATTGTCACAACTGCGGACATTTATCTGATATTTCACATTCTGCATGAAATATCAGGAAAACGATCTCTGTACATGGATCCAAAGTTGCAACATGAGCTGACATTTGTTGACTGCATCGAACATTTGCCCTTTGACTTGGTTTCCAGTTGTCAGTTTGGGCAATTATTTCACAGCTTGTCAAAATGAAATTTGGCTTTGTGTTGTTTCACTTTGATCTTGTCAGCCATGCTCGTTACTACTTCTGGCTTGAGTAGATTTTAACTACTGGAACAGTCATCTGGTTGTGATGTGATATTAGCTGCCACACTGAACTACTTTTCATGTCTTGATTAGGTATGTTTCTTCCCACAGATACTGCCAGACCTGATGAGTTTCATCAGCAATTTCTGTTTTTGTTTCAGTTTTCCAGTATCTGCAATTCTTTGTTTTATTTATTCATTCTAAGATTGCCTTATACACATTTATGCTGGATCTAGTCGATCTTTTAACGATCCCTTTGGCAACTTTCACTGCAACCTCAAAATTTCCATTTCCTTGGGAATATGGTAAAGATGTTTCTTAGTGTAGAATTTCCCAATCATTCCTGAAGTGTCTGATTTTTTCACTTGTGAGCTGAGAATATTTGCTGTTTATCACAATGTCCTGAATGCCATTGCCACTGAAATGCCTTTTACCCACTGCTCTAACTCTTAGTACTCTGAATAGTAGACAACCATGATAAGAAAATCAGTTCCTGTGATAACGAAGAGGTCTGTTCCAAAGATCATCCGTAGTCTGCCTGGGATGTTAGGAATCATGAGTGGCTTTTTAGCTTGATGTTCGTTGCAAGCACTGAACTGGTTGATGTAGAACTTTACCTCATCACTCATTTTTAGCCAGTAGAACCGTGCTTGTGTCTTCCCCAGACTAGACTTAATTGCTTGAAGGCTTGCATGGATGCCCTTCATGTTTTTTCTTGTGTCTTCATGGATAATGGCTCAGGTCCTTTTGTCCAAGGGACCATCTCGGTGCCCTTTTTGTCCAAGGGACCAAGATATTACTTAACGTGGAGTAAAATAGAACAATTCTGGAGGTGAATTTGTGTGTGTATACACTACTTAGTGTATGCATCCCAATTATGTTTTTGTATCTGCATTTTCCATGGAATTCCATTTAAGATTGTAGTTGAGGATCAAAAGAGTTTTATTTTCCTTACATAATCTTTCAAAAGTCTAGCAGACAGCTGCATTTGCTTTGCCGAAAGCAAGCCAGGTTGAACCTGACATGTAATGTTTTACTGTGGTGCAAGTGATGTTTGCAGCTGTTCTGGGGACCTCATTGTGCAGTAAATGAATTATGTTCTTACATAAGTCTGGGTTCAGAGCATGTATGAAAGGAGCTATGTCATTGCAATATCAGTTAACATGGAAGTGGGCTTCCAAGTAAGACAGAGATAGTTGGAACTGCAGATGCTGGAGAATCTGAGATAACAAGGTACAGAGCTGGATGAACACAGCAGGCCAAGCAGCATCAGAGATGCAGGAAAGCTGACATTTCGGGCCTAGACCCTTCAAGTAAGGTATCCTATCTCACTATCTTCACTAACCCTATCACTACCCTATGTCTGTAGTTACGTTCAATAAAGCCTGTTGCTGTTCACTCAAGAGGATAGATCTCACATTAGTGCACTCACCATTGATTATGGATGAATTATTACTGCTGCAGAACTCTGGCACCTGTAACTACTTAAAAGGGTTGACAACCTTGGAGAAAATAGAATTATGGTGCCTCTTGAGTAGAGCAGCAAATCCCTTTGTGACCTTCCTCTCTCTATCCATAATGACCTCTGGCCTTTAGCTATCTGTAGTCCTCTAATTCTTGCTGTTTGAATATCTCCAATCATAATTGCCCTACTATTGGATACCTTGCCTTAAGTTGCCTAGATCCCAACTCTGGAATTCCTTTCCCTTCCTACACCCAATTTCTGGTCTACCTTATTTTCTTCCTTTAAGACACTCCTTATAACCTATCTGTCTCAGCAAACTTTTGGTGAACTTTGACTCATTACTATAATTTGTTTTGTAATGCTCCTTTAGAGCACTTTGGGCGGTTTCGTTACAAAAAAGGCACTATGTAAATATAAGTTGTTGATACAAAGTAGTGCATTATTTGTGCTGAGACTGACTTGATTCATTTCAGCGGTTGCTTCACATAGCTAAAACTCCTAAACTGAGAGCACCCTGTACAATGCTTTTGTGATTTACATCCAAACTTGCTAGGGCTGTATTGAAGTGAAGTTTGATTTGATGTCACACTCTTATTATCATTTAGTT